GCAGAAGCTTGGGGTTCAATTGTCTTCAGGACACAGCTGCATGATGTTTGTAATTTCTCTGAATATTTGGACACCTCTGATGCAGATATACCTATGTATGCACAATCATAATCAGTGCAAATACATGACATTGAACCTTGTTCATTTCTATATAACAAGAGAAAATTGTTTACTCACACGGCAAAATAGAATTTTGGAGTTGAGCTTCATACTCGATGCCAATAACAGGTTCATTGTGGATAAAGTGCTGCCATATGAAAATGAAGAAGATAACGGATCTTTCTAAATGCACAAACCTCAAGTTAGATAAATAGGAAAGATTGTAGCCACTCTAATAACATACCTGAATATATTCATCTCGTAAGCTAGTTGATTGCATTTGATCACGCTCCAAATAGGCAGATTCAATCTCCGACATCAATAAAGCTCGGACAACTGACACTTCACGTTCTGAAAACCCATGACGCCGCACCCTTGCAACCTGAAGAACAGTGCATGCGCAAGATGATATGAATGAGAAAGAGGAAGAAGGAATATATACAAGTCCAGAGATAAGAAATGGATAGCAAACCTCGAGTAGCATTGATTCTAGGGCCTGTAAAGTCCCTTTTTCCTTACAAGTCGAGCTCATAATATAAGCTTTTAAGGGGAGAACAAGAGCATCAGAGGCAGCAGAGCATGAGAAATATGGTGGATCCTTTCTACGAGAGATTTTAAAGAACCTTTGATTCAGAGCATGTAGAAACATGGACTCTACAAGCATGTCCCTGTAGTCTTTAACTGTCTTCAGCTCATCCGCTGGCATCTTATAGCTAATCATCACTGCAGACTTTTACGTAAATGAAAAGAAAGCAGAATTATTAATTGTCAGATTTCCTCCAAAGCCATATGCTAGAATATGTTCAAGACTTGAAGTGTACTAACCCCGGCAGCTTCGGACTCCACAAAACACGAAAAACGTGGCTCCTCATGAGAAGGAACTAAAAATAATGGTATGTTTGGAGGTTCAGATGCAGAGATTTTCTCCTCAAAATGAGTCCTTATCAACTCAACAACACTCTAGAAGAGACAGAGAAACAATAAGAAATTGTTAAGAAATCTTGACTGATAAACAGACTTACGTTGTAACTCAGAATAGAGCTGCCATTCTAACAAATACTAACCTTTGTATCAGGAAAATCTCCAACAGCAATTACTGCCATATTTTGCAGATGGTACCATTTTTTATAAAACTGCTTCACTGTTTCAGAAGACACTGTTCGAATTACTCTTTCCAATCCAATTGGTAGGCGCTCAGCGTACTGCAATCAACCCAGGTTTAGATGTAAAATGTACTCCAAATAAAATTAGGATCAACTAGTTAGAATGTCAACCAAAATGTACTGATGAAATCACTCTTACAACTTTAAACTGCTAGCTTAATTTCAAGTCTGAACAATAAGCAAAATGAAATGACTTCATTAAAGACAATAAATGGAACAAAATTCTTATCCCCATCACTTGCCGATACAACATTCTCCATTCTAAAAATTAATACAGAAGTAGAGTTAAAGATTTGATAAATAAATAGATCCAGCAATTGCTATGAGTAGGCTAAAGATCTCGTCGGTAAAGGCCTTACAAATCAATTAATTCAATAACTAATGTTTACAGAGTACAAAAATGACTGAATAGTAATACCTTGGAACCTTCCATCATTAGAGCCCAATGGGCGTCTTGCATCCTTCCACTAGCATTTCTGTTTCCTCTATACTCCTCCATAACAGCCCCTCTTTCTTTTTCCAGATCGTCTTTCGAAGCTCGAATCTGCACAAGATGCTCGAAGGTAAAACAAGTAAGCAACCTCAAGGGGAAAAACAAAAACGAAGATGGCCATATGAAAAATAAACAAGGAAAAGAAAAGAAAATATAAAGATAAAGATAAGGGATAATACCTCTGAACTGAATTCTGCCAATACCGAGATTGCCTGAGACAACAGCTCAGGTTTATCAATTGGAACAAACAACTCATATACCGTCTCATCAGCAGAAGTGACGGCATTCTGACAAGCACCGAATTCGGCTCCAATACTTTCAAGAAACTTCACAATATCATGATTTGTGTATTTTTTGGTGGCACTAAAAGAAAGATGCTCAACTATGTGAGCAACTCCACGCTCATTTTCCTCTTCCAAAATTGAGCTGCCAAGAACGCCATTAAAATAAGCATACGCCATTAAAATAAGCATACTAGACAATTACCTATAAAGATTTTCTACAGCACTTTAAAAAAATCCCTAAACAAGAAGCTAGGTCGTGTTAGGTCTTTGATAAGTCAATCAATTTTGTTTCAATTAAAAAACAAAGAACGAAAGAGAGCAAAAGGCGGAAGAGGGACTACTAACCCAACTTTGACGGCCAGAGCGAGAGCGGCTCTCAGGCGGGGCTTAGGATTAGAACGAACATAGTAAGTGAGACCATTGTTGAGTGTGCCGTAGTCCACACCGAAGGGTCGGTGTTCGAACTCTTGATCTAAGTCCACGTTTACCAGCTTCAAGGACCTGAAGCGGTGCTTCTTCGCGATCTGCGGATTCTCGATTGGGAGCAAATCCATCTCTCTGGACGGGGGAATTGGAGAAGGAAATGTTTGATGTTCCGTATTCTGTAATTTTCTTTGTTTATCTATTTATTTATACCGACTTTGCTAACGGCAATCTGTTTTAGTAGTTGCAAAATTTGAAATCTTGATCTCGGAAATTTTGTTCATTTTCAAGATGGGGCTGGGCTTGCAACTGAATCGTACTTTCTATCCTATTTACTTCTCTTTTTCTTTGGAAAAAATAAACTAGAGGTTATTGAATTATACTAAAATAATTATTTCGACTATTAAATTTTTAAATATTATAAATTTATTAAATTTATCGATATTATATAAAATCATTCATATGATATTATAATAAATTTAAAATTTTGATAAAACTAATAATTATTTTATAATAATTTAATAAATTTAAGGATTAAGTTTGTATGAAATCTCTATTTTTTAGAAAAATTAAGTCCCTTAAGATTTTCACCTAACTAAAAATTTATACTTTGAAACTACATCAATTCGTCCATTTGATCCATATTGACAGTTAAATCAAATATTACTTGGACCATGTAATATTATATGTCACATCACAGTGTTGTTAAGGGTAGGATTGTAAACAAGTCGAGCCGAACTCGAATAGTATTGAACTCGACTTGATTAAAAAAGTGTAAAACTGAGTTTGATTTAGTTTGAAAATTTACGAGTTTGAAATTATCAAGTTCAGTTTGAACTTGAATTACAAAATTGAAAATCGTCTCGACTCGAAAACTTATGAGTTTAAAATTTTTAAACTTGAACCGAAATTAAAAAATTGAAGTTCGACTCGAGCTCCAAAAATTTAAACTTGGAATATTTTTTGACTTAGCTCGATTAAAGCTTAAATTTAAACTTTAACAAAAATCTTAAGTACATAAAAACTTTATATTATATTTTTTTAAAAGGAATAAAATATAAATGGTAATATTATTATTAATTTAATTAAAAACTAAAAATTTAATATATTATTTTTCTAGTTGCTCATGAGCTTTTCAAATCAAATATCAAGTAGTTCACTTCAACTCGTTAAGAATTTAAGTTGTGTTTGAACTCAAGTCGAGTCAATTCGATTTAAAAGTTGATCGAATTTTGATCGAATTAATATCGAATAACTTACAATATGTCTCATCACTTACTGTCCTACTTACGTGTATTTCCAATTTTTTTATTAATACTTCTTTTTAAAAATATATATTTTTAGAAGTTTAATATATTTTATAATTTTTCTTTAAGCAACCTGTAAAATTTACGTGGAAGAATCGCGATGTTCTCTTTGTAGTAATATATCATAAAAGTTATTAAAATGTAATGTTAAAATTGATCAAATAACTTAATTGATTCGATTTTTAAATTTAAAAGTTTAATTGATTTAATTTCTTGATTTGGAGGTTCAATGGAATGTAAAAAGAAATTTTGAATATAATTTATTTTTAGAAAGGTTTTAAAGTTTCATATATCTTTAAATTTAAATTTAATGAATATTTTATAATTTTTAATAATATAATTATAAAAATAACTATTTAAATACAATTTAGTAACCTTTAAGATATATTTTCTTTTTTCTAATTGCGTGGGTTCCACGTGAAATCTATGGGCATTTTTTCTGTGCTTTATTGTTTGTGAAGATTTTACCCCATTACCATCTTGGTCTAGCCCTAGCCCTAGCCCTAACCCTAGCCCCTATGTTATTATGTGTCGGGATTTAAGCTTTAGCTCATTCATTTTGTTTGTCTGCGTGCCATTTGGATTATGTTCGTTAGTTAATTAATGCAAATTATATGTTAAAAAAATAAGTAAGTTAATTCTCGAACCACAAATTAAAATAAGTAGAGTATAGTGGGTATATTCGTTTCAAAAGAAATATATTTAATTAGTTTTTAAAAAATATGAAGTAAAATGAAATAAACAATACAATAAATGCAATAATATGAATAATTTTAGGCCTTTGACTAGTAGATGATTCTTGATGTGAATAAGGGTGCTCAAATAGATAATTCGGTTAACCGACCGAATTTAATTATCCAAATTTCATTAATTGATTTTTTTCTTATTAATCGTTAATCGAACTGAATTTTAAAAAAATTTAACTGAACCGAAATAAGTTAGATTAATTGATTGATTAATCGAATTAATCAAAATTTATAAATAATACATATTAAATATTTATTATTTTTTTATTATTCGGTTAATTTGGTAAAAACCTATTTTAAAAGTCTGTATTTTCGTTTTGATTATTATTACAAATAAAAGTATATTAAAGCCAACCTCTAGATTTTGGTGTTTTGTCTGGTGTTATAACTCTAGTTTTAGGTACGAGAGGTCCCGAGTTCGATTCTTGAACTCCCTTTTTTTTTTTTTGCTGATTCGACTGGTATATTAAAGCAGTTTCGTTAGTCGAAATTGAGGGTTTAGCCGTCAGCTCTGGAAGTGGTTGTGTGAGAGAGAGAGATGGGTAGGAGGATACTGAACGATGCGTTGAGGTCAATAGTGAATGCGGAGAAGAGAGGCAAAGCGTCGGTGGAACTGAAACCAATCTCCACCGTTATATCTTCCTTTCTTAATATCATGAAAAATCAAGGTGAACTCTTTTTTTTCCCCTTTTTTTTATCAATAAAGGTATTTCATTGCATCAAAGAACCATACAGTGAAGTAATTCAACAAAAACCATCTATGTAATTAGAAGAAAAACTAAGCAAAACACGCAGTTTGACACTATACCAAACTTTCTGAATGAATCTAACTACTTCAACGTTGGTATTTTGAAAATTAGGAAAGCAATGAATTGTGGTAAGAAAAGCTACAACTCTAATAGAGCTGTCTGACTTTCCCCCTTGGCTTTCCTAGTAAACTAGCTGATTTCTCTCCCCCAGGGTTAAACATTTATACCAGAGTTGTTTCCAAACATCTCCAGAGAAAGAGCAATAGATGCTCAATAGTCTTCCTTATGAGTGGTACAAAAGCTGCAAGAGTCGTCTGCAATGATTTTCCAACGCAACATTCTATCTTTCGTAGCTAGTCTGTGTTTTCATGGAAATAGGAGTCTTAGGGACATCTGTATCAGAAATGTTAAAATCCCAGGAAATAGATCAAATAGCTCTTTCCATTTAACCATTGAGTCAAACCAAAAGCTGAAATCAGCTTTTCCCAATTTATACTTGAATAATACTTTGAAGGACTTTCTCAAATCAAAGAGATATCTCCATATCCAGTTAGAACCAGGTGTTTTAGTTAAGCCCCAAAAGATCATGATATCTTTAATACCAAGCCCGCCTTCTTTCTTAGACGTGGATACAATAGAATGTCCCAATCAACAACTCCTCTCCCAGAAGCATTAGTATTACCCTTCCATAAGAAACTTATGGATATAAAAACACTTCAACACCAATATACCTGCATGATACTCAAAACAGAGTTGATCAGTTGAACTCTTCCTGTAAAGAAAGGTGCTTCACTATCCAAGAGCTGATTCGGTTCGTATCTTCTGAACAAGCTTTTGTGCATCTCTTTAGTTATTCTTGAGGAAATTAAAGGAACAACGAGATAAGTATCTGGGAGAGTACCTTCCCCGAACCCTAGAAACTGAAGGATCTGATCTTTAAGCCCTCTTTGCATACTGCAACGGAAAATGGAGCCCTTTGTTTCATTGATTTGGAGTCCTAAGACATTTCTGAAGTGTTTAAGGGCACTGACCAAGCATAGGGGACTTAGGATCGCCTTCTCTTAGACTTGTTTTTACCAGGAAATATCCTTCTAAACATCCATTCACCATAACCAAAACCAAGGAGTTCTCACACAATTCATACCCCGTCAATAAGCTGGTGAGGAAAATTTAAACCGAGGAGAACTTCTATAAATGTCCCAATGCAAGGAATCATAAGCTTTCCCATGCTCTATCTTCATAGCACATCTAGCAACCCCATCATTCCTGAGATAATTACTTACATGCTCATGAGCAAGCAATATGTTGTCAACAATTTTTCTATCAGGCACAAATGCAGATTGAGTAGGGTTACTAATTCTGGAGAGAATATGCCCTAATCCACCAGTTAAAATCTTGGTAACACCTTGTAGAAAACTGTACAACATGCAATTAGACCTGTAACCTGTGAGGCTTTCAGGATGTTTTTTTCTGTTCTTTATTCTTTATTACATTGTTTTTTATTATGGCTTTTGATTATTTAGGGTAATAATCGAGGGTTTGTGATTTATTTTATATTTTGTTGATTAATCTCAAGAGTTGGTTAAATTGAAGTGATCCAGCTAACAGTGAGCTATAAGCTTATTTGGTGACGCACTTTTTTTTGGCTAATTTGAATGTTGGAAGCTGCTGGTTCATATTTAGACTGTACAAGTATCCATAACATATGAATATGAATCCCTTTTTGTTAAAAAATTGAAGGACAATGGGGATTTATTCTGCAGCTGATGATGTAATACGAAAGTGGTGCATTCTCCTTCACTCTTATGGTTTATTTTCACTTTTGCTTGAAACACGTGTGTTTAGATGTTAAATGATTACCAGAATTCATGCTTCTATCTTCAGTTGCCAGGTTATTTTATCAATATGATGTAGAAAGAACTATGAAAAGTTTGTTCTTTTTCTTCTTATCAATCTTAGTTTTGGGTTTTTTAAGCTTTGAAAACCGTTAGGCATCATGCTCTTTTTGATGCATTAGCGCAGTCATAATCTCATGAACTAAGCGTCTACAAATCTAGTTGTCTTGTGTGTTTAGACTTGTGGCAACTGCTACTTTTGAATCTATTGCTTATTGTTGGGTCTTTGACTTCTTTGTAATTTTTATTTTGAAAGGATACATAAAGAATTTCGAGGTCCATGATCCTCATAGAGTGGGGAGGATAACGGTTGAACTGCAAGGCAGGGTAAATGATTGTCGGGCACTCACTTACAGGCAGGACATCAAAGCAAAGGATATCGAAAAATACAAAACAGTTAAACTTCCAACACGACAGGTTTGTTGAAAATCCTTGTGTCTGGTGTTACCCATTGCCATTTTAATGTAGAAAGTGCTTGGGATTATAAAATGCAAGCATTCCAGCTATGTTAGTAGAATCTTTAAGTCATGGAACGATGACCTCTTCTGGTTTGATACTGACCTTGCTTATTGTTCTTATGACATGCAGTGGGGTTATGTCGTGATTTCAACTCCAGATGGTGTTTTGGATCATGAAGAAGCTATTAGAAGGAATGTTGGTGGGCAGGTTCTGGGTTATTTTCATTAGATTCGTTTATCTTTTTTATCACTGTCTGATGTGAAATGGAGAAGGGTGGTTCTTTAAGCACTGCTTTATGTGTTAAACTTCTAATCGATATCTATCAGAACTTGGTATCATTAAAACAGTATGATCACAGTAATAACAATTTTGGCTTCATGCCTTGATTTGTTTTTATTTTCGTAATAATTGAACTACAAAAGCAAACTTCAAATTTAATTGCTTTGGAATTTTATATTGTTTGCTCCTATGGTAATTTGCTAACAATGGCGTTTCACTATGTCGCACTCAGCCTGAGAAACTTATTGCGCTCTTAATTCTCTAATCTCAAAGGAACTGTTTTGCCGCAAGTATCAAATCAAATAATAAACAAATAATATTTCAACTCTACTTGGTAAAACATCCCTATAAAGTTTAAAAAAGAATCTGTTAACATGCAAATCGAAGATAAGTCACCAATAACATGAACACGGCATATCAGAATGCACGAAGTATCTGTACACTAGCGATTCTGCCTGAGAGAATTCAAGTGCGCAGTCAAGGCATCGAAATCGGGAAGCTTTGGATGAACATGATTAGCACTCTCCTTAGATGATACCTCCCCATCTGAAGTTTTAGCATTCAAACTTTTGGCACTACCCGATGTTGTACTCTTCCAGACATGGGCAGACTGTTGTTCTTTCACTGATGACTTCAATGTTACACCAACTGAAGAGCCTTTGGTCTCTGAAACCGGCCTTGAAGTTGGTTGAGGGGCCAACCGAGAATGCTGAGAACTTTCCCGGTTATCTGAGTTCTTTTTGTCAGGCTGTCTCTTCGGAACTTCTTCATCAGCATCAGTACTCCTTGTGGTTAAACTCTTCTTCTCACCATGGTCAAACACTACTGCTGGTTCAGAGGAAACGGTAGTTCTGTAATTGGAACTTCTACGTGAATGTGGAAGAGAGGCCTTTGTCCTTCGAGATAAATTTGTGTTTGAGTGAGCCTTCAAACTTGCTTTAGGAAAATCTTCATCAGAATCATTATTCCCAGAATTAAAATATGGGACAGTGCCCCTTGAGCTTGATTTTTTACTTTCTTCAAAAATTGAAGTTATGTTGTTATGGCCATCAATGCTACTAGAAGTATCTTTTGGTTGTTCCTCAGAACCATCATCACTAGAGTCAACCTGATTAACCAATGCTCTCGGGCCCAGCTTTCTACTCACTTCATCATTCCCTTTCCTACTGTATGGCTCTTGATCATAAGTTCCAGAATTAACCGAAGCTTCCACTGCTGCGGGAGAAGATTTCGTCATTCCAGTTGATGTATCACTGGCAGCTTCTCCATAGGAAAACACATTGTCTCGTGGGATTTTTGAATACGTTGGGTACCTATAACCCTTATTTCGTAGGCCACCTGTCAAGTTTCCAAATTTCAATTCCTTACTTTCTTCCAGATTAGACTCATTGGAATGTTCGATCTCTTCAATGCCTTCAGCCAACTGTGGAGTCAAACTACTTTTGTTTTCAGGCTTGTTGGAACCCATATTCTGTTTACCTTCACTAAAATAGCTACTCCTGACAAACTTAGATTTGTCTACCACCTCTTCACTTTCTGAACTAGGGCCATAATCATCAAAAGTTGCAGGCAAGTCAACCACATTGGAAGGAGCTGAAAAGCTGCTTGAACTTTCAAAGAAGGCCTGTGTAGTCCACTCCTCTGAGAAAATATGCGATTTTGAAATAGAATTTTCAGGTGAACTGTTGTTCTGCTGAACTCTCCAAGAATTTCCAGTTGTAAATGGATGAGTAGGAGATCTTTGACCTGGAGAAGAAAAGTTAATGTTATATTCACGTACTTTATGCTCTTCCTCCAAACCAAAATTATCTTCATAATCATCTGATCTGTAGTCATCAAAAACTGCTGAGGCATTGTCGAAAGAATCTGTTGTTTCTTTTGTGCTTCTTGGAAGGCTTCCTTTATCATTGGGAAGAAATAAATCTTCATCGTAATCATTTCTGGACTTCTGACGGTTTAAATTTGATACAACAACATGATCATCATGGGTCTTCGTATCATGCAGTTCATTCTCAAATTCCATCCTGCTTTCATCCAAGTTTTTCTGATCATTATCAGACTTCTGCCAATCTAATTTAGAGACAAGATTATGATCATCAGTGAAAGTGTTTGATTGAAAATGAGAAGAGGGATAGCTTGATTGGTCTCCGACCCTTACTTCATGATGATCAAGATTCAGAGTATTCTTAATATCATGCAGTTCATTCACAGATTGCATCCCATTTTTGCCCGAGTTTCTATTGATACTCGGTTCAGTAAAATGCTCCATCTGCCTGCCTTCAGACGTGTTTATTTGAGAATAAGCATCTGCAGTTTCATTATTCACTGATGCTTTTTCACTGTAGGAAGCTGCAGTTGACTTAAAGGAATTGTGAGTGGAGTTATCACTGCTCCTAGCAACGCTACTATGTTTATAACCCCCTGAATTCCTTCCATGATGGGAATTATTAACCGGATGTCTGGCATGATGTTCATTTTGAGACGATGAGTGGGTATACTTTTGTAGTTCCTCATCTTTCATACTATGAGGAGGTGACATGTGTGATTCCATTGGATGCTGTTGTGAGATACTACCACGGCTTGAAAGTTCGGCAGCAGCTCTGGCAGCCATGCTTGCTCGCTCTGCAGATTCTGCAGCTTCCTGAGCGGCAGCAGTAGCATCTTTAAATTCCATTTGCCAATGTTGATTTGATAATGAGGAAGGTCTCTCATTACCAGAATATGAATTCCTAAATTCCATCCCATGATTCTCAATTCCTGAAAAACCAAATACCCAAATATTTACCAACAATTAACACAGAACAAATGATTAAAAAATTACTGAAAGGAAATCGACAGCAAGTTTAAATCTAATAATTAACATACCATGTTTTGAATTTGGTGGATAAGTTCTAGAGGACATCGAATTATTGGTACTAGTATTTGACTAATCAAAATTATTAGGATGAAGAGATGATCCTGAGTTGTGCTCATAGAAACGTGTTGGTGCGTCACTTTTTCCAATGTGTTTTGAATCTTGAACATGAGGTGGCTCCCTATCATTATTAGGAAGTTGAACACTGGGAGGTCTCTGCTCATGACTGGATGAAGCTTGGATAATTGGAGGATCTGCCAAAATTTTGGTGGCCTCCATAGAAGTATTTGGTCCATTCTGCAGGAGCAAATTCATATGGAGAGAGAATTAGTGATCGAGAAAATCAATTAACCACTTCATAACCAAATATTCTACTAGTCTTACCAGCATGTCATCATAAATCTTTGATTCTTTCGCTCCAAATGATTCAGGATTCCAGTTGATCTTATGTTCCTCAGCAATTGCAGTCAAAATTTTGAGTTTAGTTGGACCATCAGGTGCATTAGCAGATAGTTTTTCAACCAACTAAAGGAAACAAAAAGATTTTGTTAGGGCTACCTAATTTTCATATGTTTGAGTAAATTTCAACAACATTTTATTCAATAGTAGATGTTCCATACTAACCATGCGACCAACACCACAATTAGGACGCAATTCAAGCGCAGAAGAAGTAAATTCTTTTCCATATTTTGCCGTAAAATGTTTGGAAACATCCTTGAGTTCTGGTATTTCTTCACACCTTGCAGATGCAAATACGACACTTGATATTGCTTCCTTCAAATCAATGGGGCAGTTTCTGAATAATTAAGGTCAGTAAAAACACAACTCAGTTATTAACAGAAGTAGCGGTTGACACAATTTAATTTTGTAGAAAGACCAACAGCAATTATAAAATCTTGCTCTCTATAAGCTAACAATGATACGTTTATTATTTATCCATCAATACATGCTTACCTATCTATGCATTTAACACACAAATCCAGCCATGTAAAGCCAATGCAATAACCAGGCACCCCAAATTCTGGCAGAAGTTGCCAATCTACTAAAAGTTCAAATCAAAGTAGTTTTTCGGTATGTGAATTGAATATCACTTTCCCTAGCTATATTACTTCGGATGGGTGTGAGTGGCAGATATATGTATATTCAATTTTTTTGCAAGTTCTTTCCATATATTAGGAGGGCCTTTGCAGCGTCATATCCCAGTACCTAAGTCCATATATGCATTGCACACAAGTCTTGGACATAAATATTTCAAGAAAAACGAAAGTTGAAACAACAAAATGCCCCCAAGAATTCCCTAGGTATCAAGTAAGCTTAACCAATTCGAGTTGCTTTAACAATGAAGGTCTCTTTATCTCTACTTATTCAAACGCTAGCTCAGTAAAATTACCCTAATTCCATAAAAGGCAATTAAAAACAATATATGAATAGTAAAGAAAGTAAATTTACACACTTTTGTGATTCGATGATGGGCATGCGAGCCAGGATAAGTTCACAGTATATCTCGAGAAGATTAAACGCTGCCAGTCTTTTCTTCCCTAACCACATGCTCCACCTGAAAATTTTAAAAAATTAGTTAGTACCACCTGAACTCAAAACAAAGCATGATCGAGAAACTTCGATGGAACTTTAATACCCGAATTCTGGCCGTTTGATCTTGTCCTGAATCCAGTAATTGAGCCAATTCCCTCTTTAAGTGATGAACATTTGCTTCTCTCTTGTTCTTCATTAGCTTTATTCGTGGTATCGCTAGCTTTAAAGCTGTCTTGCTACATCAAATCAAAATTCACAAAAAATTCCAAAAGATCATACCACCTCTTCGATTCATACACACACAAAAAAAACAATTCGATTAATAAACAGTTATAGAAATAAGATTAAGAGAAGTATTTTACCATTTGGCCGGCTTGAAGCTCCGGTGAAGCATATTTCTTCGATGGGGTGTCCGATAATTCGTTAAAGAATGGAATTAAAAGGAATTAGAAAGGGGGGGTTACCAAAAATGAGATTTTGATTTGGTCGGATGAGTAGTTGTTAACGGGATTTGGGATTCTTCGCGATGAAGAAGGATAAAGGAGTCTGATTGGAGTTTTCGCGGAAATTGAAATGTCGTATTTTTAAAACCTTAATTTCTTGTGATGGTCAGGTAATGGAATCTAATTAGAAGTCACAGCACTCGATTTCTGGGAATAGTGTAAGAAAACGTGTGGAGTCAAATTCGATAGGAGGGGACACTGAATAAATGAACGACTGTTCAACGACAATTACCAAAACGCCTCTCAAAGGTACATAAATTTCTAGAATTTCTAGATCTCTCATTCAGAATAGTATCTACACGCTATTATATATAAATCCCTTATTTGTATTAAATTTACTAATTGTTTCATCATTTAGCTTTAAATTTTTAGAAGATTTTATGAGCTTACTTTATTTATTGTTACGCCATGTATTTATCAATTTAAAATTAAAGGCTAAAGTTCCACGTAATAACTTGTAAGGCTTGTTTGGGCCAATAAACTAATTGGTGATATATACGTCAGGTTCACGCAGGCGCTAACATCCTAACCCCAATTGCTGGCCTCAATCAATTAGTTCGAATGGCATCTGCCTGTTTCAAGCAGTTTTTTGACCAAATGAAGGAGAACTATGTTCGAATTCATTAAAATACCAAGCTTATAAACATTTTAAAAAAAATAAAATACCCATATATAAGAAAAAGAGAATATTTGGGTATTTACTACGAGCTTTCACTATACTTTAGGCAGCATATTGCAACAGAAGTCTGAGGAGCAGCTTCAACCTCAAATGGGATCAAAAAACTCAATCTAGCACATCTATAAGTCTAACAAACAAATTAAGCAATCAATCAATTCTGATTTTAGAACTAATACCAATTTGGTAATGCTTTTCAAAAAGATTGGTAGAAAAGTGATTTTTAATCTAGCACACCTATAAGTCTAACAAACAAATTAATTATCTGTGCGTTTTTAGCGAAGGAGGGGATTGATTATTGGAGGAAGAAAGGGTTGAAGGGAGTGGCGTTTAAAGTGGATTTTAGGATAGCATATGACTCGGTAGATTGGTCCATACTGATGAAGATCATGGAACTCATGGGTTTCAGACAAAGGTGGCGACCCCGGATTCTAAAATGCATCTCAACAACATCCATTTCTATCTTAGTAAATGGTTCACCTACTGATTATTTTAGGATATCTAGAGGATTACGACAAGGTTGCTCATTGTTGCCAATGTTATTTAATTTGGTGGGAGAATTTCTCAGTCTATTACTCTCCAAAGCGGTGAAGTGGGGTTTGTTCGATGGATTTCAGATTGGCACCTCAGACCATCTGTTCGTCTTGACTCACCTGCAGTTTGCGGACGTTCTCCTAATTTTCTGCAATGCTTTAGAAAAACAATTAAAGAATATAAAAGGGTACTAATCTTTGAATTGTGCTCGGGGTTGCAATTAAATTTAAATAAAAGCAGAATCTTTGGAATTAATATGGAAAACGACACGCTAAGGGGGTAGGCAACATCTATTGATTGTTCTATTGGAGTTTTCCCGACCGAGTACCTAGGGCTGCCTCTTGGAGAGAAAAAAAGAATTCCTCGGCACTATGGGAACTGGTGGTGCAGCGTTTCTATCAGAAATTGGTTGGCTGAAAAGTGGCTACCTTATCTATTGCGAGGAGGTTGGTGCTGATTAAATCAATGTTGAGATCCTTACCAATTTACTATTTATCCTTCAAAATGCCGTCGAAAGTGTTGAGAAAATTAAACTCTATCATGGAAAACTTCATATGGGGTGGATCAAATGAGAGGAATAGGATACATTGGGTAAAGTGGTCAAAGGTGTGTAAACCAAAAATTGTTGGGGGCCTCGGCATTCATGATTTAAAACTTGTGAATAGGGCTCTACTAGGGATATGGGTTTGGAAATTTGTTATTGAAAAAGGGTCGTGGTGGAAGATGAAGTTGTGCAGCAAGTATAATGTTGATGCTCAGTAGATTGTTCTTAATAAAGTTATGCCTTTTAACTCCTTGTGACTGTGGAGATGATAGTAAATAATTAGTGGAAAGATGATGAATTTGGTGTTACTATTCGGAGTCGTCTAAAAGTACAATTGAGGAATGGGAATTTGATACTCTTTTGACATGATAGTTGGATAGGTAATATTCCGTTGAAAGTTCAGTTTACCTGGCTCTTTATTCTCTACGAAAATAAAAGGCGAGAAAAATATCAGAGTTTGGTTCCCCTACTTCGAATGGGTCTATTGGACTGAGAACTAAAAAGTTGAATGGAACTCATGTCGATCCTGAATAATGTTAGTTTGGACTCGTCGGTGGAGGACTTTAGGGTATGGACTAAAAACGGAGAAGGAATTTACTCGGTCAACTCTTGTGTCAAATTAGTGGTAGGGTTGTCTGAAAATGATCCATTGATCTGGTTGAAGAATATTGGGAGTGGTCTTATGCCCCCAAGAGTTGAAATTTTTGTGTGGCAGGTTTTTAATCAAAAAATGACACTTAAATCGAAGTTAATAAGGAGAGGCATAAATGAGATTGTGGAACCCCTTTTCCCGTTATGTGGTGTGGATGTAAAGTCTGTTCACCACCTATTCTTTACTTCCAGTGTAGCTTGGGGTCTTTGGGTTCAATTTCTACGACTTTGGAATGTTTCTTCGGTAGTTTCTAATTCGAAAAAAGTTTTCCTGGAAGAATGGCCTAGTTTATGTCCAAAGTTTGTATTTTTGGAACTTCATCCCTAGTGCCATCTTATGGACCATCTAGAAATTTCGAAATTCCCATGATCATTGAGAATGGGAAGCTATATCAATCCAACCTTTTTTTTAAATTTATTTCAGGTTGGCTTCTTGGTTCTTGGCAAAGCTTCCAAACCATCATATCTCCTTTGATTGTCTGGTTGGGAATCCTATTTTGGTTGATTCTTACCCAACCATCGAGGCCTTAGTTACGTCCCCCTTCTCCTGGTCTCCTCTGCCCTCGGGTTTCTTTAAGGTAAATATGGATGGGGATGTGAATAAAGATTGGTTGGGAAGTGGTATTAGTGGTCTACTGAGAGATGAAGAGAGTAAGTTAATGGGGTCGTTCTCCCATGCTGCTGGCCTAGGACCTCCAATTTTTATTGAATTGAAAGCCATCCAAGTGGGCTTTTCCTTATTTATATAATCTGAATGGTGTGATAAAAGTCGGTTGATTTTGGAAAGTGACAGTGCCATAGTGTTAGAGTTGTTACAAAATCCTGGAAATTGACCTATGACTTTTTTTTAAAGTTAGTTAAGGAAATTATGAATGTTGCATTGGTTCGTAATGTGATCTTTAGACATATTAAGCATTCTGCAAACTAGGAGGCAGATGCTTTAGCTAAGGCAGAGATAGGATAATTAAAGGGAGTTTTTGTAACTAGAGAGTAAGTGTACTTAAAGGGGTCTTGTTGAGCTTTTGGTTTCTCAGTTGAATTGTAATATTGCTCTGTGTTGGTTCTAATGAATAAAATTTTGAGGTACTCTTTTCCTCCTTCCAATGTCCGTCGTAAAACTTAGTTTTACGATGGTTGTAGACACCCGTTTTTGTTTGAGTTTTAATTATTATTATTATTATTATTAATTGTTATTAATTAATTATTATTTGTTATGGACAGATCCAAAACAATACAAAATGGCCCAAATACCATTAAGTACAAAAGAATAGGACCATTGAAGCCCAAGAAGATCCAAGCTCGATACAAGTGTTCAGGCCCAATGATTCAACTCACCTGGATGATCCAACATGCCAAACAGGAGCAAAATCCACTTCAGAGCCCATACCGACTAGGGTTTTACCCTATCTCTCCAGTCGCCTCCCAATCTCAGTCGTTGGATCTGATTGAGATCCAACGACCCATAAACATCAACAATAGGGTTTTTCACCCTAAGTGAGAAACTGCCGCTGCCACCAAAAAATCCAGACCGTTTGATGGTGTGCGTGCAATACACGCGCCAACCTTCTGTTCTCCCCGTCGCGTGAACCGTTATCGGGATTCCCCATCGTCGCTGTCTCCTATTGATGCTGTCATTTTCTACCTACAATGACAAGAACTCGTCATCAATAGTAAAAAGGGGACAAATCAACCCCAACAGTTATATATCACCAAATCTAAAACCCCATTTAAAAAATCCTAAATCCTAAAAAATCAGGGATTTTACTTACCAAAATTCAGAGAAATCATTCCCCTATGGTAGATCTCATCATTTCACCCTAAAATCGCTATAAATGGAGCATGCAACAACCATAAGAGAGAGGGAAACAAAGAAAGAAAAAAGAGAAGAGAAAAATGGACTAGATTTTTACAAAAAAAAGAGAGAAAAAGAATAAAAAAATAGAGAGAAGTGAGAACAAAAAAAATGAGACTAAAAATATCCTTACCCAGATCGTCAATCTTCGTTTCATCGGATAAAAGAACCCATCTCCGAAGGTAAAGGTATCTTCCCTTTTTTAATATGGTTTTGGGGTTTAGGTTTTGAGTTTTCTTAGAGAGAGACAGAGAAGAAAGAGAGAAAAAGAGTGAAAGGGGGTTCTCGACGAGGCTTACTCCCCATGGCCATCGATCTTCGGTGGTCAGGGAGCCTCGATGGTTCATCTCCCATGGTGGGAATAGTGGTTTTGAGAGAGTTTTCTCTCTCCAAAGAATGAAAAAAAATAGAAATGAGAAATGAGAGGGGAATGGCTGGTTTGGGTTTAGTTTCAAACATATATATCACCTGTGAAACGATGTAATTTTAGAAGGGGGTAGTGTTGTATTTTCGTGCATCGGGTAATAATTGTTTCAGTCTATCTGGTTTTGTAATCTTACCTTCTGGCCATTAATTGAAGTGTTATATTATTTTTTTTGAGCTCTTATCTTTCAATGTTTATATTTAAGTCACCATCATATGTATTATACCAATTTCGTTATTGTTAGACTTTGGTCATAATATTTGCAAATCTTTCATTTCAGTCATTGCTTTGTATCCTGTTGCTCTTAGGTATAATTCTTATTTACCTTTTCGAATATTTTTGGTTCATTTTATTTTGGTCCTTTGTACTTACAAATGTTTAAAATTGTGTGATTCATACTTTGAAGTCTTGTGTTTGGTTATGTATACTTTTCGGTCACTAATTTTGACTGGGTGTTAACTTGGAATTTATTTTCAGTTTAGTCCTTGTTGTTTTGACTATATTGAGTTTTAATTCATGTAATTATTACATAATAGGGTCTGTGACTTTTATTTCATTTTGTTTTGGTACTTACTGCTGCTATATATGAAATTTGATATATTTTTGTTCTTGACTCTCTTTTTTCCATGTTATTATTTTAGTTCCCCATCTCCAATGTTGTTAAAAACCGGTCTATTTGTGCTTTCAGTTCCTCGAAATTTTGTTTATATGCAATTTGATCACCGTCTTATGTTTGAAAATTCGGATCATTGTATGATTAGTTTCCTGTATTTCTGTATTCATGTGTTTTGATCATTGTATTATTTACTTGTCGTATATTAGCCCTTAACTTAGTGTGTACCTATTTTGCTGTAAATATTGCGATGTATTCGATGCCATGTTAAATATTTATACGTGTATGTCTACATGTGTATATTTTTTCGTGTAGTATATTTACGTACTTTTTATGCTTATTTATTTAATAATTTGTTATGTTACTCAAAGATTTTCAAGAACATTTATTTGTAGAATGGACGTGGAAAGCACTACTCGATCGAAGTAGTGTAATCCTATATGACATTCAAACGAAATATGAGCTTGAAAACTCGAGCATTTTTTAATGGTAAATTTTTATATAATATAATATTTCATTTTATTTTTATTTTGTTTTATTTAATGTTGATATTAATAATTCATGTTTTTGAAAAATGAATCACAATTTTATTTCATGCAAATTTTTTATATTAATTCAATGTTTTAAATAATTCAAAGATAGAATCTTTTATTACAAACGAGAAATAGTTGAGATAGCTTTCCCTGACGGAGGATTGTAAATCTCGAAGTTTCTTATAAAGTCAATGAATTTTCTTTAAATAATTAATTCGGAATAAATTAATTAAACTTTAATAAATGAATCATATTCTAATTTTATATTTGGATTTGTAATTTTCACCATTTGCAATAATATAGCGACTAAATATCAATTTTGGGCGTTGTAGGGGTGTTAATCCTTCCCCACACGTAATCAACTCCCGGATCTATTAAGTTAGGGTTTTGGTAAACACAGAGCAATTTTTGTCTTAAAAAATAATTTTTCTTAAAATTGTTTTAAAAGATATTTTTAGGTATTCAACCTACCTAGCCCAAATGTCGATGACGATTCCAATTTAAAATTTTCAAATCAATTTAAAACCGCCAATTTTTCAAATAAAGTCATAATTGTTTTTAAAATTTAATTGTTAAAAAAAATGGTTATGACACTGGTTATGAAGGGGTTTTAATTATACCTCTTATCTTTATAAAAAAAAAGTCACTGCTGGCAAACCATGAACCAATGCCCTCCAATTATGGATTATTATTAATCGGGACAGAAACAGAAAGGAAGATGAGAAAAGTTCGAGTAATTTGCACAATTACCATCAATCTTGGATACAGTTAATTCTGATAAGATAACAAGAGAACAGCAAGGCTTATCAACCTAAGCCATTTCAAATATAAAATTTATTAGGCTCTCTCTTTAACCACTGATTTCTCACCTCAAAAATTTCATGAAAACAACAAAAGAATACTCATCAAGGGGTTGGCCACAATCCAACTCTGTGAACAGTGATAAAGGCACTCACATCAAACTCCCTCAAATACCATCCATTCACTTAGACGTAGTAGCCGGTGAAGGTAAAACCCCTTCCCACAATCTCACCTGCACAGAACCATCCAAAGCACTCCAGTCCAAACAACGCTGCAATACCAGCATCTTCAATCTTCAGTTCTTTCCTGTTCTTCCACAGATTCTTCACATAATCAAGCTCCTTCCAGAATGACTCAGTACGACCAGGGATACTGCACAAATTGCATAAAAAAGAGTTAATTTGACATATCCTTGTGATTTTGATTTTAACAAGTATTACTGCCTCCACTGAGTAAACTAATATTTGTTTCTAATGGTACAGCACAAAACAAGTAAATTGCAATATAATGAGTATAATCATTGATTATTTGTAACACGCAAAATCATAAGCAACACAACCACATTGTTTTGTCCTTTTATTTTTCTGTTCTGAAGCTCACAGCACGTCATATGCGGTCACAGAAATCACAAGGATGTTAAAGAAAATGCAGTCTTGTAATTTTGTTCTCATGAACTCAATAGTTTCCTAGTAAGGTGTGTGACAGCTTCCATTTGGTCTCTGTCCAGCAGATGAAACTAGGGAAATCCCAAATATGAGCCTCATACTGATATAGATGGGTAACAAAATTATATATTTTCCTAGGAATTCTCCACAAAATGGTTTCTCCGTTCATGGATTAAAAATGATTTCTACCACTACTAATTAATCCAATTCTCTAATAATAACAACAGTAGTTTCATTTCATGTGGACAACTTAAAATTACATGACCAAAGATGTTGCCTCTGCATGCTCTCGCTTTCGCAACTGAAATTCCATATAAAATTTCATATGTACCACTTCTATCAGGAACAAAAATTCACTTGGTTCACGCGTAAGAAATATAGTATATAACATCTGCACACACAATAGACCATATATGTCAATGTCTCATTTTTATATGATTAAAAGTAGGTGCGATAACATACATTTCAGAACCAAATTTTGTGCAGGCAAATTGACCGACTCTAAGGTAAGCAAAATACAATGATACATTGTGGCAACAAAGGAAAAAGAAAGTTCATGTATTAAATGAAACATTTTAATCTTTATAGAAACTCAAAGGCAAGTAAAAATACCTAGCAAGGCGAGTGTAAAAGAGCTGCTTAGACAACTCGTTGCACTTCTCAACTGTTGGTGGCTCCTGGATGTATTGTTTGTTCTGCTCCAACAACTGCCTGTAGTAAGAAGTTCCGTGTTTGACTACAAGCTTGGACGCTTCAGAGGCCTTCGATTGCAACTGCAGCAGTTTTGACGCCATCAGAATCTGCACCGTATATAAAACATAAAACAAGTCCTTAGAAAAAATTATTTTCCACGAAAATGCCTTGTATAAAACTTAAAGCAGAAAGAACATAAAATCATTCAAAACCCTAAAAATTAACATAAATCCAATCGACAACATAACGATGAATAGTGATCGAGCTCTAAAATCAATAGATCTGAGTACATAAAGAGAATTGCGAAAGATTTGGAAATCAAATACACTGTAGATCTACGCACAAGAAGGGAGTTTTAGCTTTGATTAGAGCAAGTAAAAGATACTGGTTAACGGCAAGGACGTGAGGAGACTGATCTAGGCTTCCTAGATTTCATTTCCCTTCAACTTATTAGCTTCCTAGATTTCATTTTATTTCATTAAAGAGAAAATAACTTCAGTGACCAAAAATGCCTTATAATATACGAATTTAATTAACTTTTTTTGGATTTGTCAAAATGACCAACAAATTCGCAACGCGAATTCCAATTTCGCAATCCAGTTTCCAATTTCGCAACGCGAATATGTAAATCGCATTGCGTTTTTCCAAATTCGCGTTGCAATATTCCAAATTCGCAACGCGAAAGTCAAATTCGCAACTGAATTTCAAATTCGCAACGCGAATTTAATTTCGCAATAGGTTTTAGTTTCGCAACACAAATATTTTGGGTATATAACAACACAGCAGCAACAACTCATAACCTAAATCCCTAAATCGCAACTCATTCCATCTCCATCTATCACTCTCTCCGGCGACATCCGTTCCTATATCCAACGACATCCTTCCCCATCTCTATTTGTTTTACATAATTTTATTTCTATATAATTTTTCAATGATTTCTCTCACAAATTATCAACTATCAACTTAATAAAGGTATGCTTTTCTCTAAGTTAGTGATGATATCTAGTTTATAGCTCGTTTGTTTAGTAAATTAATTTACAATTTTTAGAATGAAATCATCTAATGTTGATCATGTTTGGATAGATTTATGTTTTGGAGGGTCATGGGAGAATGTTCATGGTGTTTTATAATATGTGCCTTTACCCATGAATCTTCAGCTAAAACTGTCAATAAAAAAGTTAACTTATGAAACTCTAATGTTACGTGTTGCAAAGAAATTGAATTTAGAGCCTCTAAGTGGATTTAGGCTATCTTATCTGAGAAAAGGTAAAGTTTATTTGTTAACCGACAATGAAGATGGGGAACGATTCATTGCTTACATTAGTGTTTTGCAAGAAGATGATGTTACATTATATGTTGTTGAACCTAGAAGTAGTGAAGTTGGGTCAGTAGCGGGTAGTAATCAACTAAGTTCTTCAACCCAAAATTTAATGGTTCCACCACAATTTCATCACCAAGCAAATTTTATTTCACCACATTTCCAATACCAAACACAATATCAAACACAATCTCAAAACCCACAACCTTTTCCTAATCCAAATCCAATCAACTTTCAGCACCAAATTCCGGTTTTCGTATTGACCAGTTAGACAATTATGAGTCAACAGAAAAAATTGTGAGTACTAGTCAGTATTCGAAATTTGATCTTGGTCAATACCCGGACTTTGATCTTGGTCAATACCTGGACTTTGATCTTGGTCAATACTCGGATTTTGATGATGTGATGGAAGAAGAAACAGACCCTGCATGTAATGATTTTGATATTGGTCAAAATCCAAATTTTGATGATGAAACAGCCGCTGCCGAGGAAGATGTTGTTGATGATAATGAGGAGGAAGTTACGACTGTGAATGAACAAGTTGAACATCCATTCTGTAATTCATATAACCCTGAAGAAGAAAAAGAGGAAGAAGAAAAAGAAGAAGAAGAAGTCCCCGAAGAAAGGAAAAAGAAGAAAATGCCACGAGAGTATAACTGGAATATTCCAGAATTACTTCAGATACCAGAAGAAGAGTTGGTAAAGATATCAGTTGATTGTTACACAAAAGTTATTCGTATCAAGAAAGATGATTGTTTTGATACAAAGGAAGACTTGAAGATAGCTTTGTATACGAAATGTGTGGAAGATGGCTATCAACTAAGAGTTAACAAATCAAGCAAAGATCGTTTCGAAACAAGGTGTATGATTGAAAAAAACTGTACGTAGCGTATGATTGCTAAGAGGATAAAAGATTGTGAAATGTTTCAAGTTAGGACTTTTATTGATAAACATACATGTTCAAGAACCCAAGTTTTTCCTCACCATAGACAGGCAAACAAAAAGGTGTTGGGTGGTTTTCTGGCTGAGTTAATGTTTTTGAATGGAAGGGTATATCGGGGACATGAAATTATGACTGACATGAATGCTCGGTTCAAGATTAGTATCTCATATTCTCAAGCTTGGAGAGCCAAATGTTATGCCTTGGAATTGTTGAGGGGGTCGCCAGAAGCATCGTTTGCCCAACTGCTGGTTTATTATCACAATTTAAAGTTGAAAAATCCTGGGTCGGTAACTCATATCAAAACAGATAAAGATGGACGTTTTGAGTTGCTGTTTATCGCCATTGGTGCTGCAGTTAGTAAATAATTATAATTTTGTTGACTTATTTTTGGTAGTTGTGTAACCCCCTAGACCCTGCCTATGCGTTTCGACTAAGTCTAGTGGATCACATTATGATTCTTAAAGACATTTTTCCGAAACCGTTATTAAATCAATGTAAAATCACATTATAAATGACATGAAATTATAATAAATCATACTATCAAAACCCAACTTGTAAATATAATACCAATAGGTAATAAATTAATTTAAAACATATCTTAAAAATCAAATCTTGATAAACCGAATAGTAATAGCAAAAGTGTCATCATATTAAAATCCCATACTTTAAAATAAGGTCCATGTCAACAAAATAAAGTCAACTTGCAAGGTAAAAATATTACAATCAGATATACTTCAAGAGATATGTTGATCCTCCAAGTGCTCGAACCGAGGTATCTAACCAACGGTATCTGAAAGGGGAAAACATTTTCGAAAGGTGAGCTAGGCTCAGTGTGTCCCAACATTTCCATAAAATCACAATAGGTACAAATCATAGTCCAGTAATCTCACAAATTCGTAAAAGAGTTTAACTTTTTGAAAATCATAGTTTAAACCCTTTTCCGGTACACCATCAGTAGTTCCCAAAATTATTTTCCATATAGCTTACTTTATGCACATAGCAAAAAGAAAGCCGACTTAAGGATAGGCTCTGAAGCTTGTATCCTTAAGCCCAAGTCAATAAGTCCATATAGCTTACCCTAAGCACACAGCAAAGGAAAGCCGACCTAATGAAACATCTTGGGGCCCTCAAGAGTCACATTAGGCCCAGTTAGCTTGATCAGAGCTATTCCATCGTAATTCAATTCCAAAATTCAATTGCACCGTGACACAAATTCCATAAATCCAAAAACATGGTAATCATATACCAATTCAAAACAAAAATTAGATAGCAGCCATATTCCAGGAATTGTCACATTAAATTGGTGCATCAATAAAACAATAACCAATGAATTCGGTGTACCACATATTAAAACCAATAAAACAGTTCAGTAATAAGTAGGGAACACACCTCGACAATAGATTCAAATAACAAATCTACTGATTGCTGGTTTCACCACGCTCTGCTATAGTTTTCGAACGGGTGAATACTGGTACACGTGGTTTAATTGATCTAGAAGAGCTGGGTCGAGCTGTCGAACGATCCGGAGAGTCTCTTGTACCTTCAAACAATAATATTTATCAGTCCCAAATCCTATTTAATTGTTCAAAGCTAAACTTCTTAAGTATATAAGCATTTTTCGGGTTTGACTATCAATTTGAGGTATTTCGAGTCTGAATTTGGCCAAACGGATTGCGGAATCGGAATCAGGGCGTCGAAAAACATAAAGTATGACTTTTCGAAAATTCAAATTCTTGGTCAAAGTCAAATTCAACCACTTTGACCGTAGATTTGGAGACCTTCGGATTGAATTTGACAAAACGGACCACGGAAACGGATTCGGCACGTCGAAAACTATCAGGATAGGTATACTCGGAAAAGATTAACGGTCGTTTAATGCTCGGTCAAAGCCATTTTAAGTTTTGGTCAAAGAAAGTCAACGGTCAACGGTCAACGGTCGGGTTGGGTCGGGTCAACGGTCGGGTCGGGTCGGGTCAACGGTCGGGTCGGGTCGGGTCAACGGTCGGGTCGGGTCAACCGATTCAGACCGGTCAAACCGGTTCGAACCGGTTGAAACCGGTCAAACCGGTCAGAACCGGTTGAAAACCGGTTAAACCGGTTTCCAGCAGCCACTCGCCCTGCGGCGGCGCGTGTGGCGCGTGAGGCGTCCTCCGGGGCCCTAAAAATCCCGGAAAAATTTCTAAAAATTATTTTGAGCGATTTCGAGATACTTACAACGATCGGTTCAAATTTTTGAACGGCGGAGAGCTCGATTTCAAATCGGCCGAATCTTTGACTGCACCACCTCCTCACGCGCCGCCGTCTACGGCGGATAAGGTTGACACCGGTGAACTCGGAACGGCACAAGGAACACGATGGTGCGGGAGGTGTCGTAAACGGAGCAACGATCAACGGTGAATTTAAGATTTCCTCGGCGATAGAGCTAACAAAACCGTCGCTACTTTGACTGGAAATTCCCGACGTTTGGCCGCGTTTCGCTTCAATTAATTTGAAGGGTTTGTTCCTCGCTCGATGATGAACACAACGGTGGTTTTAAAACGATGATCAGAATTTGGACGGCATCGGAATCGGGCTTGGAAGTAAGGGTACGAGAGAAGGAAAATTGAGCAAATTCTCAATTGTGTTTTCTGATTTACAATCAGAAACCACGCTTAAATTATAAGCCTGCCGACACTCCTTGGAGGAATTCAGGGCTTGGTCCCTGAATTTCCTTCAACTTATAAAATGGCCTATAACTTTTCATAAATTTTAGTTCAGTCATTAAATTTCACCAATTTTTCACAATTAACGTCCATTTTCAATTAAATATTATTTTGTAAATATTCGGGTTGTTACAATTCTCCCCCTCTACAAGAAATTTCGTCCTCGAAATTTACCTTATGAGAATAGTTGAGGAAACTGAGCCTCCATTGACTCCAATGTCTCCCAAGTAGCTTTTGAGGGGCCTCGATTACTCCACTGAACTTTGACCATTGGAATTCGCCTATTCCGAAGAACTCTTTCATCTCTTTCTAAAATCTGAATGGGCTCCTCCTCATATGACAAATCCGGTCTCAGCTCTACTTCTTCAACCTGAATAATGTGACTTGGATCTGGACGGTATCGCTTTAACATAGACACATGAAAAACATCATGAATACGACTGAGGTGGGAAGGCAACTCAAGCTGATAAGCAACAAGTCCAACTTTCTTCAGAATACGATACGACCCAATAAATCGTGGACTCAATTTACCCTTACGCCCGAATCTCAATACTTTCTTCCACGGTGAAACTTTTAAGAAGACCTGATCACCAACCTCAAATTGTATATCTTTCATTCTCTGATCTGCATAAGACTTCTGCCTATCAAATGCCTCTTTCAAACGGTCACGTATCAATCTGACTGTGTCCTCCGTCTCTCGCACTAACTCAGGTCCCAACGTTTTCCTATCACGCAACTCAGTCCAACAGATCGGAGTGCGACATTTACGCCCATAAAATGCTTCATAGGGTGCCATACGAATGTTGGTCTGATAACTGTTATTGTAAGCAAATTCAGCCAAAGGCAAAAAGTTCTCCCAGCTACCAGGAAAATCGATTACGCAACCCCACAACATATCCTCAAGAATCTGAATCACTCTCTCAGATTGACCATCAGTTTGTGGGTGAAAGGATGTGCTATAATCCAATCTTATTCCCAAAGTCGTATGTAGCGCCTTCCAAAATCTCGAAGTAAATCTCGGATCTCGATCAGAAATAATAGACAATGGAACACCATGCAATCTGACAATCTTTGAAATATACAATCTTGCCAGCTTGTTCAAAGTATAATTTACTCGCACAGGAATGAAGTGAGTTGACTTTGTAAGTCTGTCAACAATCGCCCAAACTGAATCTTTTTTCGAAGGAGTCATAGGCAAGCCAGTAACAAAATCCATAGTAATTCGTTCCCATTTCCATTCAGGAATCTTGATAGGCTGTAACAAACCTGATGGATGTTGATGTTCTGCCTTAACTTGTTGACAAGTCAAACACCTAGCCACAAAATTAGATATGTCTTTCTTCATCCCAATCCAATGATACCTCTCCCTCAAATTCTGGTACATCTTATCTCCTCCGGGGTGTATAGCATATGGACTACTATGAGCCTCAGTAAGGATAGTCTGCCTCAACTCAGCATCATCAGGCACACAATATCTACCTTTAAAGCATAAAACTTCATCCTGATCAATTGCGTAATCTGAGTTTGTCCCCTGCTCTACTTTCTCAAAGATGGAAAGCAAGGAGCTATCAAGGGGCTGCTTAGCCTTGATCTCATCAACCAAGGTCGGCTTAACTTGTAATTCTGCTAATAAAGTGCCATCGTCATATAAATTCATCCTGGCCATTAAAGATCTCAACTCCGATATCGTCTTTCGACTCAAAGCATACGCTACAATGTTAGCTTTACCAGGGTGATAATCAATCACACAATCATAATCCTTTAGAAGCTCTAACCAGCGACGCTGTCTCAAATTAAGCTCCTTCTGGGTCAGAAGATACTTTAAGCTCTTATGATCCGTGAAAAGGTGACATTTCTCTCCATAAAGATAGTGTCTCCAAATTTTCAAGGCAAAAATTACTGCTGCCAACTCTAAATCGTGAGTAGGATAGTTACACTCATGCGACCGCAGCTGACGGGATGCATAAGCCACCACCTTACTTTCCTGCATTAAAACACAACCAAGTCCTGAATGTGAAGCATCACTATACACTGTAAAATCCTTCCCGGACTCTGGTTGAATCAACACCGGTGCTTGAGTCAAAACCGCCTTTAATTTCTCAAAGCTCTCCTGTTGTGCCTCGCCCCAGTCAAACAACACATTCTTCCTTAACAACTTTGTCAAAGGAGAAGCAATGATCGAGAAGCCCTCAACAAAACATCGATAATAACCAGCCAAGCCCAAGAAACTGCGGATTTCAGATACGTTCTTAGGTCGTTTCCAATTCATAATAGCCTCTATCTTGCTGGGATCAACCTGAACACCTCGCGCAGAAATAATATGCCCCAGAAATGACACTTCTTGAAGCCAAAACTCACACTTGCTTAGTTTGGCATATAGACGATGCTCTTTCAAAGTCCGCAGAACGATCTTCAAATGCTCGTCATGCTCTGCCTCAGTACGAGAATAAATCAGAATATCGTCAATGAAGACCACCACAAATTGATCCAAATATGGTCGGAACACCCGATTCATCAAATCCATAAAAGCTGCAGGAGCGTTCGTCAAACCAAAAGGCATCACTAAAAATTCATAATGACCATATCTAGTGCGAATGGCCGTTTTTGCAACATCAGATCCTTTAACTTTCAATTGATAATACCCCAAACGAAGATCAATCTTAGAGAATACAGTAGCTCCTCACAATTGATCAAATAAGTCATCAATCCTGGGTAATGGGTATTTATTCTTGACTGTCATCTTGTTCAATTTCCGATAGTCAATACATAATCTTAGCGACCCATCCTTCTTTTTCACGAATAGAACTGGAGCTCCCCATGGTGAAGTACTATGTCGGATAAATCCTCTATCGAATAATTCTTGCAATTGGACCTTCAACTCCTTAATTTCCTTTGGAGCCATGCGATAAGGTGCCATAGAAATAGGTGAAGATCCCTGATAAGTCTCAATCTCGAACTCTACCTCTCTATCAGGAGGTAACCCAGGCAACTCCTCCGGAAAAACATCAGGAAATTCGCTAACTGTACGAATCTCCTCGATCGTGGACAATGAACCTTTAGTGTTCAAAATACAAGCAATGAAAGTTTCATATCCCTTCCGGATCATACGATCAATTTCCATCACTGAAATTATATTGGAGAGATAGCCGCGACGTTCACCAATTAACACAACGGTCCGACCATCAGAAGTTTTCAGAGTAGCTCTCTTGTACTCGCAATCCAGATTTACCTTGTGTTTAGTCAACCAATCCATCCCAAGAATTAGATCGAACTCCCCTAAAGGAAGTTCCATAAGATCAGCGAGAAAAATTTCTCCCTGAACCTCGAGAGAACAACGCCGAAATACTTTATTCACTAATACCGCTTGTCCTACTGGACTTGTAACTGTAACAGTATTTTCTGTGTTCTCGATCGGAATCTGAAGGTTTCGAGATACTGAGCTCGATACATAGGAGTGAGTGAAGCCATTGTCCAATAATGCAAAGTATGGGGTAGAATTAATAGTAAATGTACCTGCAATAACCTCAGGCTCATCTCTGTCATCACGATGTCTAGTTGCATAAACTAAAGCTGGCTGTCTAGCCTCAGAAGCTGTTGGCCCTCTATTTTGCTGAGGTCGGGCTCTACTGTCTGTCCTGGACGCTGATCCTCGAGTCTTTCCTTGACTACAATCTCTAATTGGGGTCTGTACTGTAGTCTGCGAACGCACAGGAGTTTGGGTAGTGGTCTGCTCAAACGAAACTAACTGAGGACAATCCCTCCGATAATGACCACTAGATCCACACTGATAACAAAGACCCATCTTCTTACGACACTCTCCTGAGTGATGTTTACCACAATACTCACAAAGGGGCCCATTATAATATGACGAGGAACCGCCTCGACTGACAGCTAAAGGTGACGATGCTGCAGGCCTGAAACATGTATTGCTTCTCTGAGGGGCTGAAGTACGAGTCCTCTTTCCGGACTGTGCTGATGACTCCATCGGGCCTGAAAATTTCTTAGATCGATCTTGATCAACACGCTCTCTACCAGAAGCTAAAACCTTCACCTCTTCCGCATCTTTGGCTCTGCCCACCAGCACATCAAATATCTCATCCTGATGGGTTACAACTTGCCTACGTAGCTCGTATCTGAGTCCAAGGGCAAATTTACGACATCGATCTCTCTCCGTAGGTACCATACTGAATCCATACTTCAGCAACTTCAGGAACTCGATCTCATATTCAGAAACAGTCATGTCTCCCTGAACCAGATCTTGAAACTGTTGTCGTCTCTGAGCTAAGTAGCGCTCTCCCAGAAAACGGCTCCGAAAGCGATCCTTAAAGAAATTCCAGGTCAAACGATCGGTAGGAACACTACTGGTCACTGACTCCCACCAAGTGTAGGCATTGCCATCTAACATCGCCACAGCACCCTGATATCTCTTAATTGAGTCCAAACCCAACTGATCCATGCGTCTCTCTGTATCCTAGAGCCAATCTTCAGCTTCAGTAGGAGCTCCACCTATTTGTCCCCCAAAAGTTCTAACTCCATTGGCAATCAAAGTCTGCGAAATAGGAACCTCAGCTACAACACCAGTAGCTCTGACTGCTCCCTGTATTAACTGCAGAAATTGTCTACCAAAATTCTCATCCAAAGCAACTCTGGTAGACTCTGACTCAATATCGGTCGCTCCTATTATCGGTGTAGTCATGCCAATACCAGCGGCAGGAGGCAGATCCGTTGGGGTCGTAGGAGCATGATCACCTATCGGAGGTGGGGGATCTACCCGTATCTCATCGATCGGATCTGCGAATCTAGCCACTCGACCTCGTCCACGGCTAGTTCGACGACCACGTCTAGCACTCATTTTGATGGATCTCAAGTTTACTACAGAAGATAAACTTAGGGTTAGATAAGCACTTGGAGTCTCAAACATAGTTAAAATCTTAATAACTTTGTGACATGGCCTTAGTAACTCGTTTTGTAAATATTTCAAAACCGTATTTTCAATGTGGACTCATACACAGTCCGAGGGTTAAAAACCAAAAGCTCTGATACCAATAAATGTAACCCCCTAGACCCTGCCTATGCGTTTCGACTAAGTCTAGTGGATCACATTATGATTCTTAAAGACATTTTTCCGAAACCGTTATTAAATCAATGTAAAATCACATTATAAATGACATGAAATTATAATAAATCATACTATCAAAACCCAACTTGTAAATATAATACCAATAGGTAATAAATTAATTTAAAACATATCTTAAAAATCAAATCACGATAAACCGAATAATAATAGCAAAAGTGTCATCATATTAAAATCCCATACTTTAAAATAAGGTCCATGTCAACAAAATAAAGTCAACTTGCAAGGTAAAAATATTACAATCAGATATACTTCAAGAGATATGTTGATCCTCCAAGTGCTCGAACCGAGGTATCTAACCAACGGTATCTGAAAGGGGAAAACATTTTCGAAAGGTGAGCTAGGCTCAGTGTGTCCCAACATTTCCATAAAATC